TCCGTTTACAAATTTCAATCTTTACAGGAGAAATCGCAGACTCTAATCCACAGAAGAAATCTAGCTCCTGAAAAGATTGAGAGGAAAGAGGGCAACAAAGAAACACAGCCTCCCAAAGCCTAAAATAGTTAACATCACACAGGACAATTTTGCTAACCCCAGCTTCAGAGGCTCCCACTGGCCTTTCTCTGTCTCCAACCTTTCTTTGTCCTCTCTAGAAAGGACAGACTGCCCTCGTCCTCAGCTCCAGGGTCATTTACTCACAAGCAGAGCTGGTCTGTCACCCCAGAGTGAAATTCACTGGACTGAGTGCTTTTTCCCAGCTGGAAGAACCACTGATTCTTCCCCTCCTATTTTCTCTGGGCACCTTCTCCTGCTTCCATTATGTGCCCAAGAACCGAGCTGCCCCACCCCAGGCTGTAGGTACCCATGTTCTCACTGTCTGGGTCAAGAGTTCCCATTTGCCAGGAGCTTGTGGAGCTCAGGACCTTGTGTATTCCCTGTAGCAATAGAAAAAGAGGTCTGCCCCTTGGGACCCCTTTGAGTTATGACATCTGTGGTCCAGGTGAGGCTTTGCGCAACCTCTGCACTCAGCTTGGTGACCCATAATGCTCTCTGCCTGCCAGCCCTCCACCAACTCTTCCCAATCCCTCTTCCAAGCTTGGATCTGATTGCTGTATGTACTGGTGGTCACAGGCGTGAACTTACCACCTGGACGATAATTGAATTCTTACATTTACTGGCTAGGGGACCTTGGTCACTTAATTGACCTGTGGTTTGGTTTCTTCATGTGTAGAGAGGGGATAATAATAGTTCTTACTTCATCAGGCTGTGGTAAGGATTAAATGAGTTAATCTACATAAAATTGCTTTGAATGGGCCTAACACATGGTTAGTACTCTGTAAAGTGCTAGCTCTTATTACTGTTGATGTTGTGATGTTAAGTTGTGTCATGTCTGGTCTCCGCCTGGACCTCTACTTCCTTAGGCTATCAGGCAGCTCAAGGTGAAGTCTGCTCCCAAACTGAGACCAGGCCACCTCCTTAGGGCAGGCAGGACTGCAAAACTACTGAAATGGGTTTAAGAGTCTTCTCACCTCCTCTGTTCTTTATGTCTTTTACTACATAGAATAATAATGACTAAAACACTTTTATGTGGAGGTTACGATCTGTTTTGACAAACATTTAATTTGATGCATACAACAGTCCTGTGAAATAACTGGCTCAGAGTAGACATCTGTAAATGTTGACTAAATGAGGGACACAAATTGTGAGGCTGCCAATTAGCAGAATGTTCTGGCATGCTCTACCTGCTATCCATGCTGATGGGTTGGTAGCCACACAGCACTGGTTGATGAATATTTTGAAAATCCTCTCAGGAACAATGAAGTCCCAGTTTTACCAATAAGGCGAATTTGGTTTCTGAGTTGTCTGAAGCCTTGCCTAAGAAGACACATCAATGAGTGTAGCAATGGGCTTAGAATCCAGTTTTTCTGGACTCTCACCTAGCCCTGTGGCTGTTACATCTATTGCTAACTATGTATTAGACCAAATTTGTTTTGTTTGACTATAATAGTAAACTCAGTACTGGCACCAGTCTTCCTGGTTTGTTGCTCGTAGAACATTTACAATAATAGAACACTGTACATGGAGGATAGTGAGCTCCTGTGCCCAGGCAGGAGTTCTCTACAATCTCTGCATTGTGCTTTTTTTCCCCCAAAAGAAGGGAGTGAATAGAAAGTGTTAAGACACTTTACAGTCACTCTTTGGAGAGGCCTTGCCTTGGGACATAACATACTCTTGCTCTTTATACTTGGGTAAGGGGTCTCCCCTGCAGGAAACGGTTATCACTGCTCAGTTCTGCTTATGGCTGCAGAGGCTAAGTTTAGGCACAGTGATGGAGAATCTTTTAGAGCTTTCAATGATACGAGAGTCCGCTGCAGCCCACGAACCACAGGTTCATTACTACTGGACTTCAGGGGAAGGAAGTATTAGGAAGTCCATTTGACTGCATATCTAAACCTTGATCTCCAAAAAATAAAATAAAAAAATTAGTGACCAAGAAATAAAAACAGACCAGCATAGTGGCACAGGCCTATAATCCCAGCACTTGGGAGGCTGAGGCAAGAGGATCATCGTGAGTTCAAGGCCAGCCTGTGCTACATAGACAGTTCAAGGCCAGTCTGGACTACATAGTAAGACCCTGACTCAAAACAAACAAACAAACTCAACCAAAAAAAAACAAAACACATTCTAACATCAAAGATGATGGTGGTAGGTGATGGAGCTTCGGGCAGTCTCATGAGTAGTGTCCTTATCACAGTCATGCAGGAGGAGGGCTGGTGTGCCCTTATAGGACCCAGCAAGGAAGCAGTGTCCCTGAAACAGGAAATGGGCTTTCACTGGGCAGCACACCTACTAGCTCCTTCATCTTGGACTTCCCAGCCTCCAAACTATGAAAAATTAATTTCTGCTGGTCATAACCACCTAGTTTATGTATTTTGGGACAGTACCTTGAACTGTGATAGCATCCCAACTCACCTGAGCCACAAGAATGAATAAAACCTAGGTTTCTTTTGGATTCAGGACAGCACAAAGCTAAGGGAAGCAATAAAACAAATTAAATTTATGCTTAGAAATATTTGTGCATATTTGTACTTGTCATTTTAACCCTTTGTAATCTTTAAGATAATCTGACATTTCAGAAGGACTAACAGGATATCCTTGTGATACCAGATTAAAACATCTAAATTAGAATTAATTGATTTATATTTGTGATTTTAAGTGAAAGAATATGAGAATTTTATTAAATCTGTAAACATTTTTGAGATGTTGAAGAGAATTTAAGATTCACATTTTACAATTATATTTATAAGCATTATTTAACTACTTACTATTCTTTTGTTGAACAACTCTATTTTAAACATGACATTGAATGCATTGAATGTATAAATGCAGTTTAATAATTCAAGGGAATTTAATTAACCAAATTGTAAACATTCTCTTAAAATGGAGAGTTAGATCTGCAGCTTGAATTTCAAAGCTTAAAGAAAAACCAGATTTTCAAATTTGTAATAAACGAAACTGAATTCCTGTCTACTGTCTTCTTTGTCCACAAAGCTGGTCTTCAAGTGTACATCATACCCGGACTGTCATAGGGCAGTGGGGCAGGAGCAGTAAGAGATAGGGAGTGAATGGGACAAAGACCTTTCCTAATCAGTAGATACACTAACAGTCTCAAGTGCATCGTGGGAAATCTGATTGGTTAGAGTCACATCTGCATTTGATTAATAGTTTTAAGATTCTAATTTAGGAAATGTGGGGCATATAAATGTGATTATGATGTGGTTCTTCCCCTCAAGCTTTCTCCTTTTATCTGTCTTCCTGTTTTGCATTTTTCTGCTCTCCTTTAGAAGTCCTTTTTGGCAAACACTTCCACTTTCTTGCCTTGACCTGCTTAATTTCACTCAATGGAAAAGCAGGCAATGCATTGAGAAAATTTGAGTTCAAGTATTTGTCATCTGCAGCATGACTTTTGACAACATATTTGATCTTAACACTTCAGTTTCTTTACAAATCAAACCAAGATAATATAATTTACCTGTCTTTGTCCCCTAAATTCACATGCTGAAACCCTAAACCCTAATGATATGGTATTAGGACCTGTAGTCTTTGGGAGATAATTAGGTCAGAAGGGCACAGCTCTTATAATAGGTTTAGTTTCCTTATAAGAAGACACAGAACCCATGCCTGTATCCCCAGTGTGTGGAAGGCTGAGGCAGTATTGTCCAGCCTGAACTACATAGTGAGACCCTGTCTCAAAAAAAGAGAGAGGCGGGCTGGGGATTTAGCTGAGCAGCACAATGCCTGCTTGGCAAGCGCAAAGTCGTGAGTTCGATTCCCGGTATGGGAAAACAAAACAAAACAAAACAAAAAAAGACAGACAACAAAAAGCACACCCCCCCCCCACCCCCGCTCCAGGACACAGCAAACCAGGAAGAGGGCGCTCATCAGAACAAGAACACATTAACATACTGATTTTGGACTTCCCACCCTCCAGAACTATGATAAAGAAATCTTTGTTCTTTAAGTTACACAGTATATGGCATTTTTCTTATAGCAGACTGAACTAAGGTATTGCCTTTATAGGTTGTTGAGAAAATCAACATGATAAAACACCTTGAAAAGTGTTTGGCAACATGCTTAATCAATGGTAGCAATTAATATTTTCTATGGTTTTGATCAATGTCCTTGCAGTTAAAATGATACTTTGTGTTGACTTACGGTGTGATGAAATACCTTTAGGCTTCTGATTACATTAAGAGAGAGGAGGGCTGGGGATTTAGCTCAACGGCAAAAGCGCTTGCCTGGCAAGCGCAAGGTCGTGAGTTCGGTTCCCAGTACCGGAGAAAAACCAAAAAAAAAAAAAAAAAAAAAAAAAGAGAGAGAGGAACACTGGTAATAAAACACTTGGAGCAAGAGACAACTGGAGCTAACAGTAACTCAGATTGTTACCTATACTTACACTGCAGTGTACTGTATCTAGGTCCATGTCTTCAAATATTATGCTTATTATTTTATTTTAAAGAAGAAAACCAAAAACATATTAACAAACACACATACATTTAGAAAATAACACAAAAACAATACAAACAATAGACTTTCAGACAAGGTGATAGGAAATTAACAACGGTTGTTGTATTACATACTGGTATCTTCAAACTGGTTACTCAGATAAACAAATAGACATGTAAGACTGATCAAATATTATTACGTTAGTAATGAATCCTAAATTTATATTTCTAGTTCAAACTTCCTCTGACACCAGATTTGCATATCCAGCTGTTTATTCAACATCTTCCTGGGGATATCTCATAGGTTCTTCAAACTTGAAAACAAAACTCTTAATTTTTCTCATAAACTTGTTCCTCTCCCTGCCTTTCCCATCTCAGTAAATAGAAACTTTTTTCTTCCATTTTCTTGGTCTAAAATCTGGGACTCACCTTTTCTATAACATGCCCCAAAATATATTCTTACGAAGAATATAACACTTAGTTACTTGCACCAGGCCAGTATTTCTTCAGGCAGCACTCAAGGCCTTGTACTGTCACCCAAGAATATAACATTTCTCTCCTGTAAAATATACACACTCCAACTTCTAGTCGGTTCCTGCAAACATCTCCACTGCAACCCGTCTCCCTGGGCCTCTTGCATTGGTCCTCTCACCAGCACTGCTCCTTCCTGGTGTTGCGTTATTGTAGTGGGTCTTCCCAGCAGCACTCAGCAGCCCTCTCTTGCTACAGAAGGTGAAACAAGTTGCTTCTTTGTTCAAAATCTTCCAATAGCTTTCTATGCCACCAAAAGGAAAGGGCCCTTCACATCTGATCCCTGGCCTTCCTCCTGCACTCCTGTGAGTCACACCAGTCAACTGATATTTTTTATATTTCTAGCAGACAACACATTTGCTTTTACCTCTATTCTTTCGCACTGACTAATTCACCTGCCTGGAATGTTCTTGTTTTGATATCTGCATTCACTTCCCTACTTCTCCTACTTTGCTCTCTTGACTAAGCAGACTTGGGCTACTAATCTAAAAATAACACAGGGCCCACCAGCTCCCCGCCTTATTTAAGCTTGATCATCACGTACCTGACTTACTAAGCTGCTAAATGTGGTCATCTGGCTATCTTCTAGCCACTAAAGAATAAGTACAACTGGCAGGACAGGACTTCTGAATGGGAAGGCATAGCCCTCTATATATCTGCTTTTTGTCCCAACAACTAGGATTTGAATATGAAGGCCGAAGCAGAACAGTCATCCTAGACCACCAGACAGAAAGAAGATTTGTGTTGAGACAGTGGAGCAGTATGGGTTTTAGGAAGTTTCCTCCGGGATGCTTACATTGAAATGTCAGCAATACAAGAAAATAAATTTTTTAGCTTATTTGAACCATTTTTATATGGTCTTTGTGAGAACAGTCAAACAGTAATCTAACATAGACACATATTTTGTGAATGTCTGTCGGTCCTAACCCCCACTCAACATGAGACTAAGTTGTAAATTCCATGATGAGCTGTGCTGCATTTGGTTCACGGAAACAGCTTCCTGGCCCGGGGCTACAGTTACCTGGTACTTTCCCAGCATGCGTGAAGCCCCGTGTGTCTCATCCCCAGCACAGCAACTACAACAGCAACAACAAACACAGCTTTCTCAACACAGACTTGCACAAGAAGCATTCAATAAACATTTGTTGAATTTATGAATGAACAGCAGAATCGTCAACACAATACAAGGCCTTGAATGCTGCCTGAAGAAATCCTGGCCTGGTGCAAGTAAGTAAGTTTGTGATGGGGAAACCTTTCCTGCGTGTGGTTTGGTTTTTCTGTTCTGACTCAATGACAAATGCAGGATACAACCTGCTATTTCCATATCTTGAGAGACACAGATACTCCTAAGGTAGTTGTGCTGGGCATGACCATGCATGCCTGTAATTCCAGAACTCTGGGAAGCCGAGGTAGGAGGGTCAAAAGTTTGAGCCCAGCCTGGGCAATTTAGTGACTCTGTAAGACCATTTCAAAATAAACAATAAACAGGGCTGGAGCATAGCTTAGTAAGAAGGCCTTGGGTTCATCCTTACTAGCACAAGGAACAACTGCGATAACAAAACAAGAAAACCATAAAAGATAGTAGTGTGTGGTTTTTTTTTTTCCTCTTGGATTTTTTAGACAGAGTCTCACTATGTAATTTAGGATGGCCTTGAACTTACTCTGTGGCCCAGGCTGGCTTTTGATTCTCCTGCCTCAGCCTGCTGAGTGCTGGGATTATAGGCATGCAACACCACTTGAGCTCTTTCGTAATTTAAATGAAGACTCCCAAGGAAAGTTTACAGTTGTAATGAAATCAGGTCATAGAGGTGGAAAACCGTGCCAGAGTTCACACTCATGAGGAAAGGTCACAAGCGGTATGCTCTGCACAGATGGAGAAGAGGAGCTCGTGTGCTAAGATCTAGACTTATGTGGCCAACAAATGCTTCAGTCTGCATGGCAAAGGCTGAGAGCCAGAAGAACCACAGATGAAGAACTGCACAGTCAAAATGAAACAGAAACGTGTTACAGGATATCAGCAAGTTGCCTGGGTGTAAACGCTGCGGACATTAAACCACCGAGTCCCAGGCTGAGTAGAGAGTACACAGTGAGTTGCAGCACCAGTAACTCTTGTTACTGGATATCTGTGGTACCAAATATCTTTTCATCCTATTTTTGTTTGTCCTGAATAATTGTATCAGCTAATGTAAACAATATAAAATATCACAGTCCTTTTAAATATATATGATCTTACAAGCCTGGTATTAAATCATTTTTTACACTAAAATGTTCTGGCTTGTTGGGTATGGTGGTGCACCCCTGTAATCCCAGCACTCAGGAGGCTGAGGCAGGAGGGTCACCACAAGTTTGGGACCAGCCTTGGCTACACAGTGAGTTTAAAGCTAGCCTGAACTACATAGCAAGAAAACAAAACAAAACAAAACACAAAACAAACAAACAAAAGTTCTGTCTTGAGCGAAAGAAACTGCAGAGATGTACATAATCTTGCTATACCACACGTCCTGGGTGTAAGATTAGTGCAGGAGAACAAAGTAGGCTTGTTTGTAGCCACTTTACAGCACACAAATAATTTCTTCTAAGTTATCGGTATGAGGTCTCTTATTGTTGAGCAATTAGCCAGAAAGTTCAAGAGAACTTCCTTAATAATGTCTCCCACTGCTGTAGAATTTCTTTGTAACAGTAATTTCTCCTTTCTAGAAACATATTAACATCCAAATTGAAAGCACACTGACAGTGTTTAGATCCGGACAAAGCACTGAAAATTAGTAACAATAGTTAATTCTTTGTCCTTCCCTCCCGCCGAGAGCTGAGTTTTGCCTCAAGTTTGGTGAGGCCTCTGATCTTGTGTGCTGGATATTTTGGAATGGTCGGGGGCAGAGGGTGGTGAACTGAGGACACATGTGACCTTTGTGAAGAGGCTCATTCGTCCTAGTATTTTATCCACTGTAAAATTTTATTTGCTGTCCAACAGTACAATTTTATTTACTGTCCACGTCACACTGTTGTTTCACAGGTTCTAGAAGTTAAAGTGATCAAAATATGATCTCATTAATAACCACTTAGTTGGGGGAAATCAAGACTTTTTCATATGTAGAGGTTTTTTTTTTGTCAAAAAGTACTACTGTCTCTCTTCAGTGAGCATGATTTAATAATTGTGGATGAAGTACGCTTTACTGGAAATTTGTAATACATGTCCCCAACATCAGTGGTTTTTATCATGATATTCAAACGAAGTGATTCCTATGTAGAAACACCTTACCAACCACAAAGATGTGAGCAAATCCATGATTATCATCACTGTAATAAAGCTCAACAAACAACGACGACGTTCAGAAAGCAACTGGGTATAAGGTGTAAGACCTTCAGCCTGGAAGGCCTGACTGCATGAACCTCAGGAAGAAGGGTGTTCCCTTGAGCAGCAAACATTTGGGGGCCATTTAGCGGCAGGCTAAGTCTGCAGCCACAGGTTTGGAGATGACCCTGTTAGGAATCCACAGGACTGCCAAGTCCTTAGGCCTGGAAGAGGAGTTTTTAGAAACTGTTGTCTGGGGAAGATCCATCTACAGGGTCAAGGGGCCTCCTCATGAAACTTCAAAAACAATCTAGGCCAGGGGGTGGGGTTGAAGCACTCACCTAGCCTGAGCAAGGCCCTAGGCTCTTCCCTAGCCTCACAAAAAACAAACCAAACAAAAGCAACAGGAACAACAATCTAGGACAACAGATTAGTTTCTTTGGGTGGCTCAGACAAGGAACTCTACAGAAAGGATTATGTTTAGTGATAAACATGTCTTTAGTTAACTCTTGGAAGTATTTAAAACGTAGTATTTTTTGTGTTTGAAATAAAATCATTGCGAAGCTTCTAAGTTGTGGTAAGTAAGCACCTGCTTTAGGGTCCTACTGAAGCGCAAAACTTGCTTTCTTTGTGCTGTTTCCCTGTACACTCTGCACAGTGTTTTGGAAACCCGCAGTAATCTAAATGCCCATCAGGTGACATTCATTCTCTCTTTCATATATGAAAATAGCTCTAAGGACACTCCACTGATACACTTGCTTTGAACTCTCTTTCTGGTGCTTGGAAGGGAGTTTCCAATCCCTCTTCCTTCCCTCTAATAGTTTTCCTGCCCCTGCCCGCCCCTCCGGTGTCAGCCAGGAAAAGGCCTCTGGCTGCCCCTTCAGCCCAGCCCTGGGCTCTTGAGGGCGGAGAAGCCGCCACCGCCCTGGGCCAAAATAGCGCTAAGTTTATTAAGGGCCCCAGAGTCTTAACTGGTGAAAGTTACTTCAAATAATGAGTGTGTGAGAGCAAATGCAGGCTTCGGACCCTGAAAGGAAACAACTCCAGCTCTTCCAGGCCGACTGCGCCCATTTCCTGACGACAGTAGGAGGAGGGCCTCGCACCTAAGGCACCCAAAACACTGCTTACTTGCAAGACAGCGACACTTGACAGCAAACACAAAGTTTCTGCCCCAGCTCAGAAGGCAACGTCTTGCCTTTTGTCCCGGAATTACACAAGGACCTAAGAAGGAGGGCCTCGGGGAGAGGAGCACGGCTGCCCTACACACACTGCCTCCCTTCCCCAGCCACCCTCGGCCTCAGCCACACGGCGACATCCTCAGCCCCCGAAGTTGCTTAGAGCTGCCGGGGCGCGCACCGAGTGGGTAACTGCCGTCGAGGTACCCGGCAAGCACTCGGGGACATTATTTTATCGTTGCGGGGACTGACCGAGCAAACCTCTCGACAGCCCCCCGATAACAAACACCCCTGCGCTCGCTCCCAGTGCGTCCGGGCACACGCGCCGCGAGGGCAGCTCCGCTTGCTCCCAGCCCCCGCCTCCTGCAGCCCGCTCGGGACCGCGTCTCCCGAGCCGCCGATTGCAGATAAAGCGCCTTTCCAGGTACGCTTGCGAGCGACATCTGTATTTACGCACACAAAGGTGTGCGCCGCCGCGGCACAGGCGCGCCCCCC